TGACATCAGACAAATTCAAATTAGCCTGTATTATTCAAAGGTACCAAGTTCAAGAAACACAAAGGGCAAGGAACTGTTGTTACACATTCATAGATACTAAGAAGACTTAGCAACCAAATGCCATTATGACCTGGGATTTGAACCTAACCAGGGGTAGGGAGAGAGTTAAAAAGTGCATTACTGGGATAGCAGATGGAAGGTGAGTATAGGTTTTAAACTTGCTTATGTTATGGAAGTAAGGTTTAATTTTCTGATCATGACGACCATATTGTAGTTATGTGAGAGACTGTTCTTTCTCTTAGCAAATGCATACCTAAGTGTTCAAGGGTAAAAGAGCATGCCAGATTGCTCTTAAGTATTTAAAAACTCACTCTGTGTGTGTGTGTGTAGATAGATGGAATTTATGGAGAGGATGTTAAAATGATTGGGATAAAAGTGTAAACTACTGGTAAATCTTGGTATCTTAATCAGTCTGCTGCTACAACAAAAGTGCCATAGGCTGGGTGGTTTATAAACAGCAGGAATTCATTTCTTCTAATTTTGGAGACTGGGAAGCCAAGACCAAGGCAGTACAGATCAGTGTCTGACGAGGGTCCACTTCCTGGTTTGCAGACAGCTGTCTCCTGCTGTGTTCTAGCAGAGTGGAAGGGATGACAGAACTCACTTAAGTTTTTTTTTGTTTTGTTTTGTTTTTTAGTAAGGGCAGCGATCTCATTCATGAGGACTCTGTCCTCATGACCTAATCAGTCCCCAAATGTCCTACTTAATATTATGACAGGGGAACTTAGGATTCCAACATAGGAATTTTGGGTGGGACAAAGCATTCAGCCTTTAATACTGCTAAATGGTAATTAGATGTTCCTTATACTACTCTGTGGTTTGCTTAAGACTGAAATCATATCAAAATAAAACATTCTAAAAAGATCAATTGAAGAAAAAGGAAAAAATGTAAAGGGTGACAAGAGGAAGATGTTATTCAGAGGGATGAATATCATAAAGTATAGAAATGGCTGAAACCCCTACTCTGTAGAATTTAGTATATACCAGTACTAATAAGGAAGAACTTAAAAAGCCAAACCAAAATAAATATTAAAGTTCACATTAAAACCTGAAAGTTCTTTGTGTGCTGTTAGATATTGGTCTAGTCTAGTGTCTGTTGTATTTCCTATTGTGGGGTTGTCCTTTAGGATATGGGGTTCTTCCTTAGAGATTTATGGATTCTTGGGGTTAGCAGGGCTCCTAGGCTCCCATTAGATTCTTGAATTGCCTCAAAACTCTTCGTGCTAAGTGTCTTTTAATCTATGCTTAAAACCCTAATTCATTTTAATAAATCTGGGAGCATTTATTTTCCTGGTGAGATCCCCCTCTTAGCTTCCTTTATGAGGTATTATGCATGCTCCACCTCCCGGCCAAGAGAGGTGCCATTCCTCTGGTACCCAAACTGTGTGCCAAATGCCGGAGGCTCCACAGAAGACTCATAGGGATGATTCAGGATATATGAAAATTTCATAGGTAACACAATGACATCGGTCAGATAGCCTTGACATGGTTTGCTTTTATGCTGGATCGCCACTGTCTGATCATTGGGGCATATCATTGTGAAGGTATGTTTTTAGTGGTTGCTCTAATAAAAACAAGCACTGCATGAACTCAGTGTGGAACAGAGAGTGAAGATAGTGGTGTCCATGTCACCCTAAGGTTTGGGAAATTGTGGAATATACAACCTGCTGTGCCAGGGATTCTGATTCACCTAGAATTGCAAATATCACAGTGATACTTGATATAAGCTTTATGCACGTTCTCAGAAGAGAGGCAGTGAAAGAATTTTGTGAGATTAAAAATGCTATACAATTTTTAGCATCTTTATTAATGTGCTAGTGTGATTTTCTATTAATTAAGCCATAGAATTGAAAGTTTGCTCAGCTGAATGGATTTCCTCCTAAGCTTTCTTTATCACGAAGTTTCCAGAAGCACGTCTTAGAAGTGTGATTTCACCTCTGTCTTCATCTGTGTTCTCTCCTTTCCTTTCACAACAGTGCAGAGGAGCAGCAAAATGACTGTGAGGCTAATACTCAATAGTAATTATGCTTATCAGTTCACATTTGCCAGTAATTTTAAGTTTTATAGTGTATTATAGTTTGAATGACTTACTATGTACATAGACTTTTAATGTTTGAGTTAATATTATATCAAAAAATGGAAACTTTTGTAAAACAGTTTACTGATGTAATAATTCTACAATTATAATCAGGTTAAAGATTGGAATTTGGAAGCTTAATATAAACAAAAATTTAAACCTAGGCCATAAATTATCACAGAAAGTTAGTGTGGAAAAGCATTTTAAAGACAAGGCAGTTCAGCCTTGTCATATAGCGGGAGAGACATGGACTGAAGTCTCAGATACACTGCCACATCCCAGAATGTCTTTTTGTCTCACTTGTTTGTGACAACCCACTTCCTGTGCAAAAGAGGCAGAGAACAGCTGGTTGTTGATCTCAGCACCGCTCATGGACTGTCACTGAAGGGGTCATTCTCAGAATTACATTGCAGATAGTGAGGACAGAATCGGCCTGTATGTCTCTTGTATATGGGCCCCACTACTGATTTATATTAAAGACCACTCCTTAAACCTAGCTGAGCGCCCCCCGCTACCCGCCAAGGAAAACAAGGTTTCAAGGAGCATATTTGTTCATGGGAAAGATGTGGCAACTGGGTTGGGCTGTAGCAATTGTGGAAGTGTCTAGGGCAGGTGTTCCAGCATGAAGGGTTTTGTAGGTGGCTCTTGGGGTCTGACTTATGTGTCTGTCTCTTGCCTTTGCTTTCCTCTGTGTTAGTGTCATTGTCAGATAAGCTCTTTCCCAGAGCTCTGGGAAAATTGAGAACTAGTGATTCTGACCAGTGCCAAGGAAGCACAAGTTATGTTACAGAGAATCTTTTCTTTGGAGTTCTTTAAAACTTGAAATGGCTCAGATGTGATTGCGTTCATGATGACAAAGGAACAGCGTAAGTTTTTTGACTCGTGATTCTGTTATGTTTCGGAGACATTGGAAGTTCAAATGCATGACTTTGCACAGATTCTGCTGTCACACTGGTACCTGTGTGAAAGCATGACTTGGCAAAAATCTTGAGCTAAGAAGTAAAACTGGGAAGTTATGGCTAACTGTTCCTGAGATAAAGCTTTAGCAGAAAAAAAAAGTCACAAAAGTGACTCAAGAATCAGTGGCTTGTTCTCTTTAAGAGTTAGTGTCAATGCAGAGCAGGTATCCAGTGAGCACCCACATCTGGCAGTTTCTCTTCCTGATACAGTTGCCCAGGCCAGTGACTGTAGGCCTCTGGGGAAGGGAGGAGGAAGGTCAGGGTTATAAATTTTGGCTCTGTCTTAAGATCATTCAAGCCTCTCCTTGCTTGCTTTAACAGGTTCTGAGCCTACAAATTGGCTCCCGCCTAGGAATTCATTGTGGTATTCTGACTTTCTATTGTGGTGATCAAGTTAGATGTTTGTTCATGTAAGCCAGAACTTTTCTGGTTTGCCAACTGAGAAAGCAGACATGGGGACAAGACCTTTAGTGACTGTCCTGTGGGGTTCCAGAGCCTCTGGGGTGCAGCCTGTACTGCAGAGATCTGCTGGTCAAACCAGGAGGCTGCAGCTTCCGTTCTGTGCGTTGGCTACCAGCACTCCAGAGCAAGTGCTGCTGCTTGGCTCCTGCTACACCGAGATCACCTCTTCCAGGTGAATTCAGGGGACACAGGCATAGGGCAGCAGCTTCCATGTCCACTCCTGGCCCATACCACAGGCTTCTCGCATGGGCTGGGCCTTGGAAGGGAGTGTCCATACACATAGCTGGGCCTGGGCCCTGGGCCCTCCATAACCTGCTCACTCTGGCATTCCTGTTTTGCTAAGCCTTTGAACACATACCAGGGAAGCTGTGGCAGTTCAGTTTCCTTTGGCATAGGCCACTTTGGGGACAGTCATGGACAGCCATGCCAGTGGGGGACACTGAACTCAGAACCCCTGTTCTTTGCAGATAAAGCACAACTTGTTTATGTACTGAAACCCTTCCAGCTGGAACAGGAGATAGGGTGACAGCAGGACATTGGCTTTGTTGATACTCTGTAGGGTCTCTGCCACTGCTCATCACAGGTGTAGGCACACTTGTCACTTACTCATTCCACAGCTGCATGTTGAGCATGGTGCAGTGACAGCAAGTGGCAGACTCAGAGGTGGTCAGGGTTGAGAGCCCGAGGGCAGAGTGGTGGTGGTGGGGGATGGTATGAGAGGAAGCTTTCCAGGTAGACTGCGACCGTTTTTATAGGGTGGGAGGGCCCGGCTGAGAGTGGGGTGTACAGACTTTGCCTGCTTCCTGCTGGGAAGCCCTAACAGTACTTGAAGTAAGCAGTAACAGCATTTCATTTCACTTTTTGATATTTACAGTCTTGTTTGGAGGGTAAGATCAGTAGGGCGAGCATGGCAGTAGGGAAGTTAATAGGAAGGTTAAGTATCCATTACAGTAGAGAAGAGGGTAGTGTGGTGTGGGAGCATCCTAGGCACCTGCTGTTGTAACTGGTGCCCTGATGGAGCCTGGTGTGTGGCCTTGCTTTGTGACCCAGGCTGCAGGGCAAAGCTCTCAGCCCTGCTCTGGGGCCGCACTGAGGGGAGCTGAGTGTCTTCAGTGCCATGTCTGTGGAGGGCTTTCCTAGCTGGGGTGAAATTTCCCTCAGCAAATCTTTGTACTGGTTTCTCAAATAAACTTAAAAACTTCAGCAAAGTTGTAATTTGTAACGTGATATTTTAAAACAAGTAATCCATATGCAGTATCTAGATAAGTCTAAATAAGGAGTCATAGCTGTTAGTCTATTTGTTTTATAAATAGGCTGTAATATTTAAATCATACCCTGAAAGTATAAGGAGTAGCTAGTATACAAAGTTCTATCTTACAAACTAGGAATTGAATCATATTTTATTTAACTGTGCCCTTATTTTTGTTATTTTCTGTTCAAAGTACCAAGATACAAACATGCAGGGAGTTGTATATGAGCTGAACAGCTATATCGAGCAACGGCTGGATACAGGAGGGGACAACCACCTGCTGCTCTATGAATTAAGCAGCATCATAAAAATAGGTAAGAAGGATTTTATATGCTCATAGAAAAAAACGAGACCAGAGATTCTTTTCTCATGTTACAGAAAGTAGGAAAAAATATCCGACCAAGAGGCAGATGAAAGTCATTATTTATTTGTATTGCTGTACTAAGTTTTATAAAACTACCAAGATGAGTCAAGCCTTAAAACTCCTAACTTATCTAATCTCAGATCCGCCTGATGTATAAATGGAGTATACCTGTGCCTTTGATGAACACCTAGTTGTCTTTGGAAAGCATTGCTTTATTCAGTTAAATCACATTTCAATAAAGAAAGTCATTCATTTTAAAGAAAATAAGTACTTTAAATTTATTTGGGTAGATGTCAATTTTATGTATTGTGTGACATACGGTTTGTATTGTGACTAGGGAACATATAGGGAGGGACTAGGGTGACAATTTTGTCAGAAAAGTGATTTTTAAAGGCACACTTTTTAGGACATGATTTTCAGGTTGCCCACTGTGACATGGCGTCTTAGTGTCTTATGGGAAAATCAGAATACATGATGTGATGCTAGTGACGGCATTTGTTATGTACTTAACTGTATGCTGGGCACTTGCCATGTGTGTTGCTCACTCAGTTTTAATATAACCTTTTGAGATGGTTTCTGTTGCTATTTCATTTTACTAATGAGGAAGCTGTGGAACAGAGAGGCTAACTGTCTCACCCAAAGACATGCAGCTAAAAGGGGAATTCAGAAGGTGTTAAATGTACCAGCCCTTCAAGACAGAAGCTGTTTGTTGCTATGGCAGTTGCCTTCAGATGACTCGAAGCAATATCTTTTTGGGGGAAGAGGCAGCTCTGGGTCTTGAACTCAGGGCCTCGAGCTTACTAGGCAGGTGCTCTTCTACTCTAGCCACACTCCTAGCCCTTTTTTGATTTTTAGTTATTTGTAGCCAAGGTCTCATGCTTTTTGCATGGACTGGCCTTCTACTGGCATCTTCCTGCTCCCCACTTCCTGAGGAGCTGGGATTACAGGTGTGAGACACCATGTGGCAACTTTTGACAAGTTAAATTCTGCTCACTGCAGAGGCTGTGGTGATGAACACGTAACCGGTTTTGGCTGGTGCTGGTTTTAGTTATTCAACATTATTAATATCACTTCTGGTATATTTCAATACCATAAAAATTAAATGCAATTCTTTAATTAAAATGTCCTTCAATGGTTGTGAATATTTAAAGTTTGACAGATGTGTTATGGCACTGTATGTGACCTGCCATATTTATTGAATGATGTCACATAGTAAAATTTGCAATCAGTTGTGAGAAATGTATGAAGATGTGCTAATTATGCTATTGAGGAAAGCCATGAGCTATTTTGTTCTATTTAGGGCATGACCATTGGTGATGCTAATGAATCTATTGGAAAGGGTCACCCCCGAGCCTCGCCATAGAGAATTCACGCATGTTATAATCTTCCATTGAGATTAGTCTCTTCCTTTTTGTTACTTTGGCAGCCACAAAAGCTGATGGATTTGCACTGTATTTCCTTGGAGAGTGCAATAATGTAAGTACCTGTGTTTAAATTTTGTTGCACTAGATAAGAAAATACTGTTAGGTCTTTTTTAAATAAAACCTTACTATATTATAAATTGTAGACATACCATAATTGTATGAACTTATTTATATTTTGTTTCTTTTATTTTCTGGTATTGGAGAATGACTCCAAGGCCTTGCACACCCTATGCAAGCACTCTACGCATTCAGCCACACCCTCTGTATTTTGTTTCTGTGTGTGGGTAGTACCCGTCAAGAATGGCATGGCAACTTCGGGGCATAAAAGTCTTTATTCGTTTATTTTTGCCTTAGTTTGTAGTATCTGTATCATGAACGGCATTTCTAGAATTTGTGTTTTGTACAGAAGTTATTTCAGCACTGTGAGCTGGGATGCCGTAGAGGAGAGTGTGTCCTTTCTAATCACGATCTATAGTAGAATAAAATAAGAACAAAGTGTAACATTGTCTGTGATTTTGTAAGGTTTTGAAAGATGGCTCTGTAAGAGCTCTGGGGCCTATGTGCCAGGGGTTGGGATGTCCGGCTGCGGGAGTCTCAGCTGTGGCTGTTCCTGCACTTCTGGTCTAGCGTACATGGAGTGCAGCCCCGGTCAGGTGCAGCATACTCAGCCTCCTTCAAAAGCCTTCCAAGATGTCAGTCATTCGTATTTGATAAAAACACGTGCAGAACACTTTACGTGCTCTTAGTCAGTCACACTTTCATTCATAGCTTAAAGTTCATTTAGAATTTATTTAACATTTATTGCGTATTTTTTATGTGTTAATTTTGTGTTGGTAATTGTTACGTTTGGAAACTGACTGATAAGATGCCATTGGTTCCTCCTGGTTTCAGCCCCTTGGAGTTTATTCTCTACATATGGTTGTGCCTTGTCCTCTACTTCTTGACATCTTAGTTCTTGAAGTAGATTTACTTCACCCTTTATATTCTTTCTGAATGACAGTTTCTTGAATTTTGTTTCATCCACCTCTCACAAGTGGTGACTTATTTTCTCATGTGTTTCTTGTTGCCCTCACTCCTTCCCTCCTTTCTTTGAATCATATGCTTCTTGAAGAGGATATTCTACACCTGGTTTTGAACTTCCTTTTCTGATCCTCCCCAAGGACAGGCATTTGTATTCTGCCTTTCACTTAAAAAATCAGGAAGACCACCAACCCAGAGCCATTTTAAACTGAATTATCAGGTTGAGATTTTTTTCAACTTACAAAGTGCAATTTACACTTTGGATTTCACTTCAAATCCACTTGAAGCACAATTACAATTTCCCAAAGGAGATTTTTTTTTCCTCTAGAATTTAATCCCTGTTTAAGAATTGTTCTGAGGATTCCCATGACTTAAAACAATGGGAACTTATTTAGCATTAGAAATTAAACAGAAACCTTATGCCAAGTACTTTGTACAAAGAAAAAAGTCAAATATATTTATTGAATATTTAGAGAAGAATGTTTATGAAAATCAGTTGAAATATTGCTAAATCTCTGAACCTAATTCTTCATGATGGAAAATAGTACATAGTTAAACTGTGATGGTTTTTTTTTTTTTTTTTTTTGGTGGTGTTGAGGATTGATTCAGGGCCTCAGTTTGCTAGGCAGGTGCTCTGCCACTTGAGGCATACCCCCAACCTTTTTCTTGTTGGTTACTTTTGAGATAGGGTCTCTCTTTACAGCTGCAACCCACCTATTTGTGTTTCCCCTTGTAGTTGGGGTGAGAGCCTCAAACCACCAGATCTTCCTGATCTCCTCCTGAGTAGCTAGGATTACAGGCTTAAGCCACCACAGGCTGCCCTACTATGAAGCATTTTTATGTATTTTTGAGCATTAATAAATATGAGAATTAAATAAGTTAATTCATTAATTCATCCCTTTTTTGGTGATATTGGGGTTTGAACTCAGGGCCTCACACTTGCTATACTTGAGCCACTCCCCTAGCCCTTTTTACTTTAGTTATGTCTCAAATAGGGTCTTGTGTTTATGCCTAGCCAGCCAGGACTGTGGTGTCCTATTTACACTTCCCATGTAGCTGGGATGACAGACGCACACCACTGTGCTCAGCTTTTTATTGGCTGAGATGGAGTCGCATGAACTTTTTGCCTGGGCTGGCTTTAAACCATCATCCTCCTGATCTCAACTTCCCAAGTAGCTGGAATTATAGACATGGGCCATGGCACACAATAATTTGCCCCATTTTGGGGGATAGTGGCACATGGCAGGCACTGTTTTGCACACTGGAGATAGTTTCAGTGATTTAAAATTTCTTCCCTCTTGGGATTTACATACTTAACCATGGAGACAGAAAAAGAAAGTCTTTAAAGATGATACAGATGGACCATTTGCTAAACTAAGAACCCAAAGGAAAATGTTTAATGATTAAGCCTGATAGTATAGTAGGAATGACAAATTAGGAGAACATATTTATACTAAATGTGAAAAGCTAGATAAAATGGACAGTTTTCAAGAATATGTAAATTGCCTGTCTAATGCAAGCGATGGTAGAAAACTTAATAGCCTAGCACCCAGAAAACATATTGAAAGTTGTCTTAAACTGCTGCCTTTGCAAACATCACAGGACATTAATAGGCTGTGTTGAGCACCAGCTGTGATGGGGTATCACTCTGAACCCCACCTGTGAGGAAGCAGGCAGTCTGACTTCCTATTACTGCACAGTTGCCAGGGCTGTCCTAAAGGAAGGAAAGCCATGTGCTGGTCACACTGTTCAGAACCTGGGGCAAGAGGGACAATTCTCAGGAAGGAATTTAGCTTTGACAAACTTTTGGCTCTGGAGTCAGATAAGATAGGCAAGTTCTGATTCACCACTTGGTAACTGTGTGACTTTGGGAAGATTCTTAAATGTTTTAAACCTTAATCTATCCTCCGTTGGTTAAATGTTACATCCTAAATGCTGTTCCTTCATCACACCATTTTAAGCATCTGCTAGGTGCCAGAAGACTGTGCTAAACTGCTGAACATAGACTAAAAAATCATTCTTGTCGTCAAAGACTGAGAAAATCAGGGGCGAGACTGAGAAATCACACACACCAACAGGGACAGCCTGGGTGCTCTGGGTCATGAAGCTGGGGGACTGGGTCACCCACAAACAGAGTAGACAATGAGGACCGTTTGGACACCTCTCACCCCATGGTGAGTAGAGGGCAGAGGACTATTTTAGGAGAAAGGTAAGGCTCATGAGAAACCTGGAGCTGTTCAAGGAAATGGGAAATATATACCTGGCCCAGAGCACTGTCTGACATATGCAAGGTGCTTTTGAGACGCTTGCTGGACAAGAATATGCTTTCTGTGACTAAAGTTTTGCTTAATTCAACTTTTGTTGTTTTTCATTTTTACTAATTTATACTTAATCTCACATTCAAAGTGATATTTAGCATACTTTATAGTGTTATCATTGCAATTTTTCTTGGGTTATCAAAGAGAGTATTTATAAAAGTTATAAACTTGCCAGGTACTAGTGGCTCACACCTGAAATCCCACCTGCTCAGGAGGCAGAGATCAGGAGCCTCATGGTGTGAAGCCAGCCAGGGCAAATAGTTTCCAAGACCCTATCTCAAAAAAACCCTTTATCAAAAAGGGCTGCTGGAGTGCCTCAGGTATAGGCCCTGAGTTCAAGCCTCAGGACTGCAAAAAAAAAAAAGCTCTAAACTTTAGAAATCCTAATTATACTTTGAAATTTTAATTCAGTATAAGATCACTGGTAAATATCTTCCATATATGGATTATTCTTAAAATTGCCATAATTTATAGATTTGGTAAGTTAATTAGGTAGTTTATTTTTATCTTATTTGAGAACATTAGCAACTAGATGGCTATAAAACCTCTAAGCTACAAGAGACACTTCAGAAATAGCCAGTGTTTTCATTTTAGTCCTGAGGTAGCTGGGATGTCATTCAATTAAAATGGCGGTCCACGCTGACATTGTTGGTCAAGACCAAAGCCTTCTCCTGCGTCTGATTCCACAGACTCCCATCCCAAAGTTTTGTGTTTTCCACAGAGTGACTGTACTGTTTCTGTCCCAGTGCCCTACCTCTTTTAGGGGTACTGATGTCCCCGTTCCTGTTAATTGACTTTTATCACACAGAACTGAGAATACGTCTTGAACAGTTTTGTTACTTGGGTATAGATTTGGAAAAACAGGGAAGCAGAAGAATCCAGATTTTGTGTTTAGTGCATATATGTATTAGACAGCTCCTGGAAATAATCATTGTTTTGCAGCCTGTAGTTGAGAGCAATTGTGCGATGTTTTCAAGTGCACAATGAACTCTGGCAGGTTTATGTTTAAGAGTTGTGCGGTTAGTTACCCAAATGTCAGATTTGAGGTAAGGGTGACCAATTGCTCTTGCTCCACTTTTGACTTTCTTGCTATCCAGCGCCATCTAGTGCCTTGTAGGAAAATAATGGTAAGCCAATATTTTTTTTTTTCTCTTAGAAAGTATTTTAAAAATTTAACTGGTCGAGAGTGGAACTCTTACCATTAAAATGAAGTTTCATGAGTAAAGTGATCTTTTAATTGTGTAGAGAAAAAAGGTGGAAGCACCTGTTTACCAAGTCAGATACTTAACTTAGTTGATGGGTAGCAATAGACCAGATTTCCCATTTCATCTAAAAATGGTGCTTTTATACTTGTGTTACTCTGCTAATTAGTCTACTGATTGTACTAGTCTACTCTCTTGTTCATGTCCCACAAAACTTATTTATGTCTCCAAATTTACTCTTCAGTATTTGAATGTTTTTTAATCCCTTCATTGAAGCCAAACCATTGGTTATGACTTCTACTGATCTTGTCTACCTTAGTTATTTTCCTAAGTACATAAAAAATTCACTGTTGTCACAAAAAATACTAGCCAGTTTGTAATGAGCTGAAAAGCTAATTCTTCCACATCCTCCCTGGCCTTTGGGTTGGTCACCTGTTTTTGGCAGCAGTCCCTGCTGTCTGGGAGGGGTAGGGGCAGGAGTCACGTGACCTCCACAGCGCTCAGAAGCCTCT